TTAGAACTGTGCGTCACCGAAACTATCAGAATATGACCGAGTTTGCGTCGAAGAAATTTGCCAAACCACAGCAGATGCCGCGATTACGTCCTCCTGAAAGAGACCGATGCACCCCTTTCCTATTCCACCAGCACACATGTTTCACATTCATAAGCGTTCCGATTCCAATTTGTCTTGACAAAAGTTTAAGATCTCTTGAGCTTCTTAGATCGCGAAACGAAATTTTAATCTGCGTAACCAATTTCACGAAAAATTATCACTCGAATGCGATCAACAAATCGTGTCTTTCACTGTCACAAGGCATCTGGAAAGGAACAAAATAATTCATTATAACTGAAATTGAAAGAATTCTAGACATATTTTGCTTTCCTCCTCGCCATCATAGTTTTCCCTAGAGATGGGGATCCATCTATCTGAAACGTCTGATAAGGATGACTTATCGCGGGATGGATTTCGAAAGCTACAATTGTGCAAATTTGAGGGGAGCCGCAGATTCCCTCGAATTTGGGGGAAAACTCATCGATATAGACTAGGGCTGTCACGATAGGTCGATGCATCGATACCACTATCGATAGTTGGAGATATCGATAGTTTTTTCGACCATCGCGATGCATCGGCAAAGTATTTTAAAGGGGAAATGGCTTGCGATTTATTATCACAATCAAATTCCGTAAATGCTGGGACTGACTATAAGAAAGTTTGGAAGGGTAAAAGAAGTCGGATCGGAGACAGGAAGTGAGAAAGGGGAGGGGGGAAGACTGAGACATTTTTTTTTTCTCTTCGGTTTCTGTTTTCGGCTCGATCTAATCAGGTGCATGCTACGAAAGTGAACTGTTCTTTTACTCCCTTGATTTCGAAACCTACATTGGCTAATCCGCTCTCTATATTCCTATCACTTTAGTATGCAGGCTTAATGTTCTTAATTTTTAACTTGCCTAGGGCATTTATCTCTACTTAAGGTGAACTCAGAGTGAATATTGTACATAGACGTTGCTTATACTAGGGCTGTACCGACGTTTCGGCAACCGCCGGTATGGAACCATCAGCAGGTTTCCTATCTGGCGNGCTCTTCCTCCAGGTCACGGCTCGGAGATGAGTATGCATATCATTTCGGCTTTTCAATTATGATATAGGATAGCTCGAGTGCTCGTGTGCCCAGGACACTGAATTGAGTTCCGTCTCCGACAAAATGGCCAATTTGATTTGGGCTAATATTGAGAAAGTAGGGCACGATACTCAAGTTCCGAAACGAAGAAAGCACAATCGGAGGAGAAAATCAAGGATGGAAGTTGCCAGGGGGTTTTTCCCCTTTACCCTACAGTGCGGAAAGGCCGCTCACATTAGCTCAAAGTTGTGGTGTCGAACTCTAGGAAACAACTGCTTAATAATTAAGCTTCCCACCACTTTCAAATGCGACTAATTTACATCTACAGGGTGTCTCAGATAGATGCTCCCCCCTCCCTAGGGAAAACTATGATGACTAGGAGGAAAGCAATTTACATTCAGAATTCTCATTCGATTTCTGTCAAAATGAAGTATTTGGTTCCCTTTCGGTTATCTTTAGAACTCTCATTCCATTTGTTATAAAGAACTATTTTGTTCCTTTCCAGATGCCTTATGACAGCGGGAAAAAAAAAATATTTGTTGATCGCATACGAGTGATAACTTTCCGCGAAGCTGATCTTTCTTGTCTGGATGGGACGAAGAGGATTTAATTCATCTTGCCCCATCAGACGAATTTTTCATTAGAACTGTGCGCCACCGAAACTATCAGAATGACCGAGTTTGCGTCGAAGAAATTGCCAAACCACAGCAGATGCCGCGATTATGTCCTCCTGGAAGAGACCCCTTTCCTATTTCACTCGCACACACGTTTCATATTCATAGGCGTTCCGATTCCAATTTGTCTTGACAAAAGTTGAGCGTCTTAGATCGCAAATTAAATTTTAATCTGCGTAACCAATTTCGCGAAAATTTATCGCTCGACTGCGATCAACAAATCGCGTCTTTCACTGTCACAAGGCATATGAAAAGGAACAAAATAATTCATTATAACTGAAATTTAAAGAATTCTAGACATATTTTGCTTTCCTCCGCGCCATCATAGTTTTCCCTAGAGTGGGGGATCCATCTATCTGAAACGTCTGATAAGGATGACTTATCGCGGGATGGATTTGGAAAGCTACAGTTGTGCAAATTTGAGGGGAGCCGCAGATTCCCTCGAATTTGGGGGAAAATTCATCGATATAGACTAAGTGGTGCTGTAATCATCATTATAAAATAATATAAATGCCCGCAATCTAAGAAGTTTCCTTTCTTCTTACAAAGAAAGGACCAGGCTCGATAAAAGCCAAGAACTTAGGCTGTATTCCGCCCTGTATTCTAATACAACAGCTGTCACGCTCTCTCGCCTCCCCGTGTCATGGAGTGGCCCTCAACGACGGAGGAACAATTGAGTTACATGTAAATAAGAACCGACGGGAAGCTGACGGCAGAGATACCACGCGAAGATGGTGGGAGATATTTCTCCTCCGGTGCCCCGCCAAGGAAGCAATGTGTAGGTTCCCAATTGGGAATCTGTGGGTTCCCACTAGCGATCTGTGGGTTCTCGCTAAGGATCTGTGGGTTCTCATGGGGGATCGGCGAACCGGAATTGAATCGAGGAGGCTTTTGGCTTTCGGGGAGTGTGATCACGTGTCCCTCTAATTCCATCAATTTGCTGGTCTTATTGAGCATCATCAGCTCTGGTAACGGTCTGATACGGTCTCCATTGTGTGTTTATGACGGCTGGTACCAGAGCCTGCTGCGAGCAGACGACGATCAAGTTACATAACCACTGCGTGTTTACCCTGGCATTGGCTGTCACATGGTCACGGTCACTCATGACAAGGTCATGGTCTGAGTGCGTCATATTAGTAGATAATCGCTTCAACCTTTTGCTTCCCACTCATCTGAGAGCAAAAAAAGTCCTTAATCCATAATGCTCAGTTGTACTTGTTTCACGAATAGAATGAGATAACAATGGGCAGTTTTAAATAAACTATATTCTTAAAAACCGGTAACAGTAGCATGCCTTAAACAAACAATGGGTTTGCCCCTTTAAGAATGCCCCAAAATCCTAATCCTAAGCCTAAAATATATCCTAATCGTGTCCTGAATGGTATTGGATTTCATTCGACGATTATGGATGTTATCAGAAGTAAATTGCACCATAACAAACTCGTAAGTTGTGAACATTACACCCCTCCCCTCTGATTTGAATGTGTCACAATCAAGTTACTCATTTTAGGCACCGCATTTCCCCACCCTATCCATTCCATTTTCCAACTGGGAAAGCCACATTTTTTTTATAGGACACGACGGGAAGAATTACAATGAAATTTAGAAGAGTTGTAATGAATTGCAAACCGTATTACAGGAAAATTACCTAGAAGCAGTTTTCCCGGTACAGCTTTTCATCCGCTAACAGGCTGCTGCCGATCTTTTGGATACCTCAAGTACACTTGTTCTGGCAGTACTGAAAAGTTCTTTCAGCGAAGTACTGCACCGACCAAAATCAAATGATGAATCAAATTTTTCTTCTCGTTCTAACGCGAAAGTGCCTTTGAAGTATCTAAGACTGGGAAGAATTAATAGACTTGCTTTGCCTCGTGAAGCCCTGTTAGAGAAATATTTATTACCAAAGAGAAAAGGGATTTATTCGGGCGCTGAGTGGGTTCACAGATGCAAAAACGCCCAGCAAAATGAGGGGGAACCAGTGCTTGCCGGCGTGATTAATCCCTTACACGCCCTCAATTGACAAAATTTGTAGCTGTAATTAAATAGACAGTAAACCAGAGTACTTTCTTCAAATGTATTTATCTCAGAGGAGTAAACAGGTTTCAGCTCTTTTTCGAGGTTGAGTGAAGGAATCCTGCTGTTAGTTCGATTTTTAATGAACCTTGAAATTTGAGGAAACATTTTGACGCTGTGTCATTGATCCTATCTGCAAACATAATCTGTGGCGTAATTGGACGTTAAATTACGTCACAAGCAGCCAAGAGGTTAAATGACTGCTTGACCTCGAGTCTGAATGTTATTGAGATCGTAAATGCCCCCTTGACATCTCAGACCTGAACCTTGAATGGCTTCATTACGCACGAGGGTGTGTGTGACCTTCAAGGTTTATTCCAAGGGTCTTCGACCGCCTATCAGTCTCTTCCTGGCCTCGCACGGTACTACTCTTGCGTACATCGCCGGTGTATCGAATACCTTATGAATATCGTTGAGTGATTTTTCACCCGCTCCCGAAGAACGCGGAAGTGCGGGTTATTTTCGGAAACCAAAGTCTTGCCACCTGTAATTGATTGGAATCTTAGAATCAGTTCCTCCGGAAAAGTTTCAATGGAAAATTAGTCTGTTCAATGGAAATTAATCTGGTATCAATGGTTTCTATGATGTATTTATGGACCCATAATGTATACACATAACAAAAGTCAGAAGTCGTAGAGAAATAACGGGGATAATTTCCGGCCATGACTAGACTTGGAACTAACCCGCCGACTTCAATTAACATTGTAATGCCAAAGTTACTGTGATCACAAAATCTGACTCAAGTGATCTAAGCGATCGAAAATGACTCAAAAATGACCCAGATTGACCTATACACGGACCCAATGGACCCTCATGGACCCAATTTGAGCTTAATTACCCGGAAGTGCTCCAGGTTTAATAAAATAGACCCAAAGGGGTAAAAAAAAAAAAATTACCTAAAGGGACCCCAAAGTGACCCACGGTTACCTAAGGTGACCCGATTCAATTGGCCCAACTCAAGCCAAGTTATCCCAGAGCGCCCCAGGTTTGCTTAGATTGGCGTAAAAAGACTCATGCCGAAGAAGGGAAAGGGACTTCCGCTTCACTGTCTGATTTCTTGTTTCTCCAAACATTTTACGTCTAAAGGTGGATTCCTTGAGGGGGAATGTTCACCCTCTGCTCATCGCATCGCTCTCCCTATCTGGCACATGGAGTCAGAATCAAGTTAGTTCGGTATATTACGGTAGATTCACAATTCCAGAGGAAGGTGTCAAGCCAACCATGAATATTTAAGTAAAACCTGCTCGGCGAAAAAGTGGCTTCGGAATGACTAGCACAAAAATACCAAGTAAGCTCCAAACTTCCTTGCCTTAAAGGTGTTAACTCTATGAATTCTATATATTAAAAAACTAATGATGCTGCGTGCGTGCGTATGTAGTCTCCGATATAGCCCATAACGCGCGAAGCCTACTAAGCTATGCCATTCCAGGCCATTGGCTAGGCCATGCAAATTGAAAGAGATCGAAAGCTGCGGTGAATGGTTATCATTCATCTGCGACCTAACACGCAAGGCCTACAAGGCTATGCCATTCTATGCCATAGGCTAGGCCATTAAATCCTTGGTATACATTTAATCTATTAGACGGCCAGCGTTGCAGCCGCAGACCGCTTGTCTGATTTTAAAAGCATGTTACTCAGTTGACTACCTTTGCTTGTATATCAGTGTTTGACTTTGAATCACTGAATAAACTCCAGACGTTTTAATGAACTAGAATTAAAGAGGTTCTTTGGATTATTGCACTAAATTGATTCAATTACTCTGGCAGAGATTTGTTTTTCGAGCCGGGCCAGGGATTCAGTTTCTTGGTTCCGTCCCCGGAGATCGGGGAAGTCGAGGAAATTCACGTGGAATGGGAACACGGAAGAGCGACGATGAACCCTCTGACCTGGCGGTTGCTCACCCATCCCAGGACATTCGTCGACCGGGTGGTCATCCACACCCTCGAAAACAACGCCACGTGAGTCCCACGTGGTCCCTCTCTTGCACGCGTCATCCCACGTTACAACATCCATTTATCGACGAACGCGCAGGGTGGGTTTCTGTGGTCGGGGTCGAGAATTGGGGTCCGGGGAGGGGATGACCTTGAGGCGAGATGACCGTGGCGGATGCCTGGAGAAGCCCCTGCCCAGAGTCAATCAATCACTCAGAGGCTCGCTTTTCAACTTTCGGCTGCGGGAAAGTATCGAGGATTTCTTACGAAACACCTTCACCAAATTAGCCGTCTGAAGTGCTACCTCATCGCTCTTATCATCATGAGGAGTGGGAAATCACCACACATTCAGTTGAGCTTTCCGCATCCTTCAGCAATTATTCAAGCAAAGCGCGTTGACATGATATCTCACTCCTGGTCATCATGCTCATTTCATCAGCAACAATGATCTCTCGTCACAGGCCTGACGAATTCATTCATTCTCATGATACAATGGTGCATCTAGTCTCTAGGCCTTCTGTATTAAAAATTTTGCTTGTTTCCTTGATTCGTGCCATTATTCCTTTCTGTCTTTCTGAAAAGATCGTTCTCCCCCTTGGTGATCCTTGAAGGTCATCTAAACTAGTATTTGAAGTCAAACGAGTTCTCAGATCCACCCAGACGATCAAGATGATGCAACTTGTGTTTCTTGCCTCATTACTTGAGTTGACGTACAGGGTGTCCCGGATACCCCTCCACGCCTTTAATTGCATAGAACACAAAATGTAAAGAAGTGACATTGACGATTAATATGCTGTGTTACCTTCGTAACTATAAGTTAAAAACAGATATAAGGGGGTCATTTTGAATGGGTGCCACACTGAAACATAAATGCCCACACAGATATATGTAGCATTACTCTTGGTTAACAAGGGAACCTTCAATACAATATACAGGGTGTCCCATATGTCACTCTACCATTTCAAAATATCACATTTACTCAACAGTTGATGCAAAAAAGAAAGTAACATTAACTGAAAAATAGTGTTACGGAGGGGGAATGCGAGACGGGACGACGGAAGGCATGAGAGGCCGAAAGAAAGCCAGGGATTGGCCGCCACTCGAACAGGGCCTCCTGATTGCCGGTCAGGTGTGCCACCACTACACCACCGAATTCAGTGCGCCTCCTCGATGCCATCCTCATTCGTCACAATGGCATGTAATTTGAAGTTATATTTGTAAAAAAAAAATGGAGATATTTCTGAGTTTTGAAAATGCTTCAAAATGCCTTCTGCCTATATCAATACATGTAGCATGAGAATCGGCACCAAAACATCGCCGGAACTCCCTTTGAACTCATGGGACTTAATGATCTCCATCCAGGTTGCAACTTTTCTCCATTGCTCCAGCGTCAGTTGCGAAACCTTTTCCCATGACAGTGAAAGCAAATTAAATGAGATAATTTTTGTTCTGTTTTTCTTGTCTATCTGAAATTAGGAGAGAAAAACTTAAAGTTGAGCAATTTTGTAGAGCATTCAACAAGGTGTACCAAGAATGTTCCTAAACAAGTACACCTTTCTAATATGCATTTGAAGCTGTTTCCGTTTGTGTATGATTCCAAGTCATTATCGTGAAGAAAAAAAAATTCTAAGAACATTCTTTCCATCAATACCAATAACAGTGATCTGCATTTTGGAAAATATTGCAGTTTGAAATGGTATAGTGGCTTATGAGTCGCCCTATATTATCCTTCAATGTTGTTCCTTCTCCTTTTGTGCTCTATTCAATTAAACACGTGGAGGGGTTTCTGGGACATCCTATATACTGTATATACTGTATATGGAAGTTCTTAAGCCAAAAGCAGCCACCTTGACCGAATTTGTGGAAATCTGGGAGGGACAAGACCACCGATTCTCCTTGAAATTCTTCCTCGTAGGAAGGAAAATCTGAGATTGGGGCCAATTGATAAGGATTTTTTTTCCCCCGGAAGAGATAAGACCTATTACAGATGAGTTACTTCCATTTATTCAGTGCAAACATGGAGACAGTAGAAGAAAGTCAATGAGAATCAAGTCAAAACGATAAAAAAAAAGTGAGAGCATCACAAACACCTACTTTGACACCTCACGTTCAATGGCTCTAAATGCTGATCACAGTCGAAATGAGGGACATCGCTTGAGTCCACATGGGGCCCCATCTACCATGGATCCTCCCGATGACGAGATCCCTGTCAATTGAAACCAATGAATCAAGTGTCCACAACGTGCATATCGCGCGAAAATGGCTCCAGATGAGAAATCTGCAATGGAGCAAGAAGCGACACTCGAACCACAACGGGCTTTACAATTATTCTAATTACCCCTCTTCAGTCATGAATATGTTGTATGTGAACATGGACTGAACTTATCTTTCTCTTGCGAGTGCTTAATTTTTAAAAGTAATTAGCACCTGGTGAATTAAAAATTCATTTTTGCTAAAAACAGGCCCTGCAATTTTTTTCAGTTTGTGCCTAAAACCGATCTCCTGATTTTATAATCACGGAAATGTTTGAGCTCATCAAACATTTCCGTGATTATAAAATCTGGGTTTTCAGTGACAGAAAATGAAGTAGGGCTTGGGTAAGAATAGCTTTGTGCTCCATTCACGGATACAGAGCAATTTTCCACCCATCTAGTTTCCTTCCTTCGGCCCGGCGAACTTCATGCCTTGCACATTCTTTTGTGAATGAATCTCAAATTTTCCCAGTTAAACCCATACAGTGCTGTGGGACATACATTCCCCAGATCCCTGCACAAGCCCTACTTCACACTTCACCTACTTCACGTCAGGTGTAACATGTTAAAGAATTTCGAGATCATTTTTTGCCCTTGCATACATTCCATTTAGGCAACATGACAATAATACTTTCTAGCTTCTAACAATTTCTAGTTCGTGGAGGAGGAAATTTTGCTTTTGTTCTTTTGTTGTGTTATATTCCGACTGCGATTCTTGTTTCTCCGCTGCTGCCAGGGCAAACTGTAGATAATGCACGAACTTTGGATATATTAAGTGTCGTGTCAAGAAAGGAATAGGAAACGACACCAGAATATATTATGGGTACCACCATATCCGAAGTGAATCTGATTAGGAGTTCGTGCATGCTTTGCTCTGGCTTGTGCTAGTGATTTGGAATCCATGCAAGTTGCAAAAAAAACGCAATCTTCACGTATTCCTGGTCACTTTCCCTTCCCTTGCTGTTACAGATACATCGTCCAAACACTCGCTGACCAAAAAATAAGAAGAGGCAAATATTCATCTATAATATTTCTTCGAAAACTAATTTAGAGTGAATAAGTTATTTCCTGCCACTTTCGCCATGATGGATGTCAGATAAGGCTTAAGCCACAGTGAATAACTCGGAGATGCATTTCCACAATTTATTTTCAACGAAATATACCACCCTCTTTGCTATCCTTAGCAGGCGCTTCTTGTCCGTTAGTTTTTTGCATGGACTCTAGCGCTGATGTGAGGTTATTTTGCTTTTGCCCTTTCCTTTCCAAGAACAGAGCGCACTCAGATAGCCAATGGAAACGATTAAATTTCCATAGCGTTTTTTAAACAATGTGCCCATTATCCTATGAATGATAATGGATGGCAGTTACACAGTACTGTATTGAACTTCCGTTCCTTTATCCGTTACCGATGACCCATTTCACGCAATCCGTCATGCCGTGTCCAGCCCGTTTGAATCCTTTTCAAAGATCTGTTACAATTTACAGAACGTATGAGGCACAAAAATATTCAAGTGCATGCTCAGGTTCCATTGCGAATCTCTCTAGTTCCCAGGCTGTTTGAGTTCCTGGTGACGGCTCAACATTTACAACCACCTTAAATTTCCCAGAGAACCCAGTGCATGGGTATTCCCGATGAGATTTAATCCTCCGGAGTTTTACATCGTCCGACATTCTATCAGTGTTTGGTTACGTTCACAATGTCCAATATATTCGTTATGCTTCATAATATGTTTGCACTTCACTTTTCGTCATCCACACCTCCGAGGTTGACATGTCATAATGAGTACGTTGGGCCTGTACTCACCAGCTGAGTACATAAACAAAGGCCGAGTTCGCTTATTTAGCTGCGTTTCCTCGGAACTTCCTCGTAACTTCCGATATAGCCTGGTAGCCAGACTGAAATCAGCTGCCAACCACCCACCTCAAAATATCATTTTCAATACACAAGCGAAATTAGCGAGGAACCAGGCTACCAGCGGGAACCTGACACCCACAGATACCATCAAGATTTATCGTCGTAAATCTTAATAGCTCGGTCGTGTATACTCGGCAGTCGCAGTGAAAGGGTTAAAGGCTCCTGATATACCTTAATGTACCAAATGAAGAATAAATGAATTAGAATCTGCTGTCAGCGCTTTCTCTTCGGGACAGTCAAGCTCCGGGAATTTTTTCCAAGGCGGCCTCGGAGCCTCCCCTGCACCATCTGTTGAGCCCTGCGAGATCCTTTCCTAGCGCCCTTTGCACCCACATGATGCGCCGCAAGAATTATCGGAATAATCCATTTCTAAAGATCCCTTGCATCATTTACGGCATCCTATTGTCACCCGTTATATAAAACGTCCTCAGCTCTTCTCATCGCACAATCCATCCTGTAGGTGACGTCAGCCCTTTTTACGATGACAAAGGGCTGGGAAAAGTTTCCCGGCGACAATGGAACAGACACGAGATATCTTTCCAACCTTCTTGGAAAAGCAATCGACTTATCTTTCATCCCTCTGCCGCGAGAGCAGGTAAAAGTACACAGGTTGTCCCTTAGAGGAATTTAAAATAAAAAAAAGGCAGCCGGCGGGCACAGAGCGAAACAAGACCCAGGCAAGAATTACGAGTGTCTCCTTTGTGACCCCCTCATCCCGAGCAGGGCTGAGGACGAATGTCTCAAGAATGCAGTGAGTCACGTAACGAAGGATTGCATTGAAAAAAAGAGAAAAATAACAATAATAAAACGTGTGCATTCATTTACACATGGGCCTCGAAACTTAAATGGATCTCAAAGGAGCCCCAAGCAAAAACCGAATTCATTCGGTTAATCGCTTTAATGCCTAAAGCATTATTGCATGCACTATGCATAAAGCATGAAGCTTACACAGCACGATGCATAGAAGCCGACGGTGACGATACTGAATCCAAAAAGGAGAAGTACGGCAGAGAGGGCAAAGGCATCCGGAACCAGAAACCAGAGACCCACCCCCGCGCCGATGCACGCCAGTCCTGCGAACGAGAGGGATTACAGAGGTTAAGACACGGTAAGACGATTGTTTTTGCGGTTTTTGAGGGCGGGGTACCGAGGACGACGAGGCAGGCCTTCCAGCCGGCACAGTGCATTCTTCGCCTCTACGAATTCCTTTCACACATGATTCCACCCAGTTTCTCCCGCGGATTCCCGCAATCACTCGCCCTACATCCGCACTGCGCAGCTGCTTCGACGGACGCAACACACGCGGGTGAAGGAAGCCGAGGACTGGAGAGCGTGGCCAGGGCCAATGCCAAGGCGGACAAACAGCCCGAGGGCGTGGTAGAGGCCTTCGCGGGTCTCAGACGTTCTTCTAGAGCCCGCATGTGGGCCCGCATCTTGAAAGTGGGCCGAGTGATCCAATGGCTCAGAAAGAAGTCGTGAAAGCACGAAATAGAATTTCAGTCACGAGTCGTGCGAGGATCTTTCTTCACCCTTCGCCGCGCCCTCACGGATCCCCGCCCCTCGCGAATCCGGGAGTGAAAACAGCGGGAAAAGTGAAGGCACCACAGACGACTTAATAAGTAGAGCGAGTGCCGGAACCCTCTCGATCAGTGACACCGTCGGCATGCCCCGAAAATGACGCTTTACTCCTGGACCTTCCTCGTGCTCGTGGCCGTCGCGGACGGCAGTGGCCAGTGGATGTGGGGCGGCTGGAATCCCTTCCTCCTGCTCGAGAGACTCGTCTTCGACAATCCCAATTCCGGCCTCGGCTCTCACATCTCCAGTCGAAGCCAGAAGAGTTCCTTCAATGAGTCCGGGGACTCGGCGAGTGAGTGAGCCGGAGGAATCGGGGCAAAATTCCACTTTTCCTGTTTATTTAATTAATTAATAAATTTAGAAAATATTATTAAAGGTTAGTTTAGAGAAAAACAAGTATGATCTTTCATCCGTTTTTATACAGCCAAAAAAGTATTTTAGAAGCGTTTGTCTTCTCCGGAAGTTTATGCAGCAGCAGCTGAAAGGGAACCAGGATCCAGTGTTGCCAGATCCGGGACGTTACGACATCATTGGATAAAAGTGGTTTCATTTCTCTCCTGCTAACTATATTCTCTCATAAAATTTAAATTGTCATCACTTTAACGCTTTGTTTCGTTCCCAGAAAGTTACGCCCAATTTTCCCATTTTAACAGCTCCTTAACCTTTTCTCTTCAGTTGAACATGGATAGTTCCACAACCGTCGTAAGTAAACCGTCCCGCTTTTACACCACGTTTCTACGACTTCTCGGTCTCTTTTTTAACACCGACTTATTTGTGCAAATAAATATAATACAATAATTACAATAATTATTAATACAATAATTACAATAATTATTAATACAATAATTACAATAATTATTAATACAATAATTACAATAATTATTAATACAATAATTACAATAATTATTAATACAATAATTACAATAATTATTAATACAATAATTACAATCATTAATACAATTACAATCATTAGTAATACAATAATATAATGAGAACATAGTGCCTAATTTAAACATTAATTACCAACTCATTTATTCCCCCTCAGACGAAGAAGAGAAAGAGAGCGAGGGCGGGCTCCTGTCCACCCTCCTGGACTTGAGCACCCGCGCCTCAGGCTCCCGCTGCTACGGCGACCTAGGCTGCGTCCACATCGACCCGTCATGGTTCCACCTGATCTACCGACCTGTGAACCTGTTCCCCATCTCCAGGGAGGAGATGCAGACGCAGTTTTTCCTCCTCGCGAGGGGGAGCCGGGAGCCGGCGAGGGTGGTCGTCGGGAATCACACCAGTGAGCTAAAAAATTACTTATTTATATTTTAATTTTAATACTCGAGTAGGGTATTAAAAAAATTCCCTTAAAAACAATTTAATTTTCAGGTCTGCAGTTGGCCGGGTATCGGAAAGGGAAGCCGCTGAAAGTCATCATCCATGGCTTCATCGACACCGGACTTACGACCTGGATCAAGGTCTCTCCCTTCTTTTCAATTTAAATCTTGACCACATCAATTCGATAATCGCACCAATTTTATTACAAAACCCGTTTCATTTATTTTAAATTAATTAGAAGCTTTTAATTTTTATTTGCACGTAAACGGAGTTACGGCTCTTGCTAGGCTGTGATAAACGTGTTAATTTAAATTAATTTTAATAAAAGGTTTTAATTGCAGAGGATGGCCGAGGCCCTGCTGGAAGCGGAGGATTGCAACGTGGTGAGCGTGGATTGGGGCCGGGGGTCCCTTCCGCCGTATACGCAGGCGGCGGCGAACATTCGACTCGTGGCGCTCGAGGCGATCGGGTTGCTGAAGTGGCTGCACGTACGGGTTTGAGTTGCGGGGTTGCGGGAGGGGGTTGCGGGGGTGGAACGGGTTTGAGGGTGATTGGGGATTTTTTTTTTTCATAGACGATTTATGGGCTGGAGATGAAGGACGTGCACTTGATCGGGCATAGTCTGGGGGCGCACGCGGCGGGATACGTGGGGTCTGCGGTGGAGGGGATCGCGAGGATCACAGGTAAGCTTCGGGGGGGGGAATTTTTTTCGCGTCGTCAAAACCAGGAGGTTGATTTTTTCGCCGTCGATCCGGCAGGCCTGGACCCGGCGGAGCCGTACTTCCAGGGAATGCCGGAGTTCGTACGGCTGGACCCGAGCGACGCCGCCTTCGTCGACGCCATCCACACCGACGGCAACTCCATCTTCTTCCTCGGTCAGCTGCTCTCGCGAGCCCGGATGGTCGATATAACGATTAAACGAGAGTAAATTCAAGGTCGCTTTGGTCTGCTGCTCCGCCCGACCATTCATTCCAAACTAAATCAAAATTTTAAAATCAGCAAAAACGTTAAAAATTATTACCGTTTTTTTCCAACAAAATTGGAAATTCCTAGCAAATTTTCCAACTCGCAAATAATTTTTTTTTAACCCCCCCCCACCCAGGCTACGGCATGAGCGACCCCTGCGCCCACCTCGACTTCTACCCCAACGGCGGCCGCAACCAGCCCGGCTGCGCCCTCTCCCAGGTCCCCCTCACCCTCCTCAAAGACGGCATGGAAGAGGCCGGCCGGGACTTCGTCGCTTGCAGCCACCAGGGGGCCATCAGGTACTTCACCGAGAGCATCACCTCCAGTTGCCCTTTCCTTGCCTACAGCTGTCCGTCCTACGAACAGTTTCTTCAGGTGAAACTTTCATTCCTACCTCTTTTCGTTCCATAGAGTTCTTATTTTATTTAAAATTTTTAAAATTAAAAATTTTTTATAATTCATTCTATTCAATTTTTTATTTTTTATTATTTTTTCCTTTCTATTTGTTCTGTATCCCCCCCTGGCATTCACCATCACAATTACTCACATTCATCCCGAAACCGACAGTAACGTAAGCCGTTCCCCCAGGGTCGATGCCTCGACTGCGGCGCCAACGGGGAGAAATGCGCCTACCTGGGATACCGGGCCACCGACTACCCCGCGGATCTTCCCGTTCACCTCCCGCTCTACCTCACCACCAACGCCAGGGCTCCGTACTGCCGTACGTCGTCGCGTTGAAGTCCGGGTGAATTCATCTGCACACTTGGGAATTAGTTTTAAATAGAATAAAATTAAAATTAAATAAAATAAAATAAAATAATTTAATTTTAATTTTAATTTAAAAAAAAAATTAATTAAATAATAATACATTACCATGATCTAAAATATATATTCTATGGGTTGGCTCATGCAACGTTGTATAATCTGAAATAGTACTTACGCAATGCAGTATCGATAAATGCTTTCTGAGCTGCTTTCTTCGGATCCTGCACTTCGTCCTTGAGGTTCCCCCATATTAAGAAACGAGGATTCAGGTCAGAATAGGGGAGACCCCGCGACAAAGTACATATTTCCCAAGCGTGCACCCCTCCCGCACCCATTTTATAAAATATGTTTAAAATCCGGACAGGGTACCACTACTCCCTGGCGATGCGGCTGGCGTCCCCGCGCCACGCGAAGGAGACGCTGAAGGGCCACCTGCAGGTGTCGCTCGAGGGGACGAGGGGCATCCTTCCGCTGCAGAACCTCACGGCGCTTGGGTTCGTTGCTTGGGTTGCTCTGGCGGGTCGGTTGGGTGGCTGTGCCAAGCTTCCTCGGGTAGGGGTCAAATGCTGCAAAAACCAGGATTTTCCCCCAAAATTCCCCCAATTTTTTCCTAATTTTTTTCCAAAAAATTTTCCCTAATTTTCTAAAAATTTGTAAAAAAAAATATATATATATATATATATATATATGTATTTAGATATTGTCGTGTATATTGATTTATTTAAAATGTTTGGATACGAAGTGGAGGTGGAGGGATCAGGCCGACTTACTTTTCCACAAGAAAAAAATTATCTTGTTTCAGCTCGAGGATTATTTCTAACTGATGTGTCGCGAAACAGGAATTTATTGATATTCTTAACTTTGTCGAGTTCTTTTTTTTTAGTTATCTGAAAAAATATTTGCGATCGATTCATCCAGCTGGCATTCAACAGACCAACAGCCGACTGGCCCAGGCTGTCCATATATTGACAAAAAATGGGCGAAAATGAAATTTTTGCACAAGGAGGGCGATCGTGCAAATTAAAAAAAATATTTTAGGAGGAATTCACGTAACCATTTTCAAAATGTTAAAAAAACCCATTTTAAAAATTGGCACAATCTTCCCCGCCCGAACAATGCAAAAATCCGCCCTGTCAAACCTGCGCCAACATCCCCAGCATGACGTCACGCTCTCTAATCGGCACAGCGAGACGGCGACGTATCGCCACGGAGGCGTCTACCGCTGGTTCTTCACCAGCCCGGTCGATCTGGGCGAAGTGCAGCAGATGGAATTGCATTGGAAATACGACGAGAACCCTCGGGACCCTTCCACGTATTGTTTCCTCATCTGCGACAAGACTCTTTACCTCGATTCCGTCTCTCTCACTCACTATCGGATGCCGGGGAACTCCAGCCGAAGGTAATTTTTGGTGGTGCCGGTCGGGGGGGAAGTTTCGAGGCGATTTCGACGCGTTTTCTGTTTCGTTCAGTGACGGGGATGAGGCGCTGATGGAGCGGGACACGTTCTGCGATGCGGGGCTTTGGTTCACGCCCGTCGGGTCCGGGTCCTGGGCCACGCTCCGCCCGAATCCGGAATGCCGGGTTGTTGCTTGACGCGGCGTCTCACCTTTGTTTTTGTGATTGCAGTTGTTGTTGGTTGAATGAATGAAACTTGCAGCTTCATGTTTGAGGAAACGCCGTTCGTCACTGACCGGAAGGAGATTCCGAGCGAGAGATCCACTCTAGTGGACGTCGTTCGTTACCTGTCAGTTTCTGAATGCATTTCTAATACGCAAGAGAGCGCAAAGAGGTCTCTGATAACCACAGAGTGGTAGAGGGCTGCAAAGAGAATAAATTCCTTCCCGCGGGCGAGATCGGGCGGAGGGGCGGATGCAGAGGGAGTGATATCAGACCCGTGTAGGACTCGCGCAACGAGGCATGTCCATGAGGGCGGCGGCCACCTGTTGTCAGTCGATTCCATGACTTCCAGGTGTTGCGATCGTTGTCGTATCAGACGGAGAAGGCCAAGGCCTGCATAGGCCTAGGCGTACTCACGCTTGGGGTCATTCACGGCTTCACCCACGCCTCTTCTTTAGCGTAGGCCTATTACATGCAGCTGATAAGCCTACGTCTCCATGACATCAGACCTCGATGGGAGCCATGAAGGAGAGAAACAAGCCTTTGAGGACCATCCTTCGAAAGTTCATCGAAAATGTGGAAAATTTGGAAAACTTGCTCAAGGAAGGACAAGATCAGTATGATAAGGAATTCCAGGTTTGATTTCTAATGTTTCGTTGGACGTTTAGATAAGCTAACGTTAGACATAACTTGGAACCGTGTAGTCAATATGCCTATAATTGGTCAATTTATTCGTATAACAGTGTTTTTCACGTGAGTTAGACAATTTTTCGCTTGACTCAGACACGCGTGCATGGGTGTCAAAGTCAAGTGAAAAAGTGTCTAACTGATTAAAAAATGAAAAAGACAAAATCGTAAATAACGTTAGTCGCAGATTTAAGCATAGGCCCAAGTTTAATTTGCTAACTAATGAGTTCAGCCTAAGCCTAATGAAATGAAGTTCTATCTACATGTCGGGATGTGAATTCATGGCATATTACATCCAGAGTCAAGGTTGAGTGCTCCTCCTCTTATCCCCTTCCAGCTACAATAGGCCTCCCTCATGATGAATGCTCTTGTTGGGAATGTGCCAATCTGTCTAGAACTTTCATGCTTAAACTCATCTAGTTGCTAACTGATGTAGCAAGAATTAGGGGAGGGTATTTCCTTGAAAGATTCATTAACTTCAAACATTCATTCATTCAATAAGTTTAACTCTTTCACTGCAGAGTTTTAAATGGTGGAATAGCCTCCTGCCATGAGGTTTTTTTTGTGTTCCTGGCATAAAACAGCAACAACTCTAATCAGGACTTGTGGTAAAAGGGTTTAAAGAAACTTGACATTTACTCTAGCCCTTTATTTCTCTGAATGAACAAAGGCATTTAACACATCATGAAATACAACTTTCTGAAAGTAATTTACTTTAATGAATTTTGCTTCTGGTGTTGCTTTCATTCTTTTGTGGACTCCCCAGGAAAGTACTTCTGACTGCAATTTTTCTGAATACTAAAGAAGAATCTTTACTATATCATATCCACAAAGTGGAGAATATTTTAGAAGTAATAAGAATCTCAATAATAAAATAATAGGTTTCCCTCATTCTTTACCTTTATTTCTAATTGTAGGAAGATATAGTAAGGTGGGGCTAATCGATCATGATTTATTTTGTAAGCTAAAACTGGCCTACAGAAAACCTTTGAAACCTCAACCGGTCATGTCATTCAACCACATATTCCAGTGAATTCTGGGACATTAGTGAACCAGAAGCCTGAAGTCAGCCTATGGAAAGCATAACTCAATGGTATGTTTTGCTTCAGGTTTATAATATTTTCTTTCAGAACCTGAAGTTGGTGAGTGAAAGCCTGAAGAGTCTTTCTGAATACTCATGCAAAGAAGGGGAGAGAGAAGTGAACAGAAGAAAGAACAGATACAAAGATATCCTTCCTTGTGAGTACCAGAGGCTTACTTTATTTTCTTTTCAAGTTTAAGTGGCATTCCTGATAATAATAGGGTATGCCTGTACCCTCCTTTGCCAAACTGATGCAGATGAAGAGGCTGTCCTTACATCTGGCACTTATCAATTCCTTTTTTATTTTCTTAATGAATAGATCCAGTAGGAATTGGTATGCATGGATGCCAATGTCAGATACCAGTATGAGTCGACACCCACATGTATTGATACTGTTAATTTACTTTTGCCTCTATTCCTGGGCTCCCAGACATGGCTTAACTAGTTTTCAGATTCAGGAGCCATGGTTTCTTGTGTTTCTTTTTATTTTTCTACAAGAGCAAGCAGGTTTGGCTATCAGCTTATACTGAAGAATTTGTATCTATCAGATCAGGTTGATTTTACAGTAGATGCTGCTTATTGTGATAGATGGTTTTCATTATCAACCAGATAATGTGATCAAATCTTGAAAACCAAATCCTATATTTCATGTATATTTTTCTCTAGTTTATGTTACTGCCTGTCCCAGATATTGTTATCATGCTATAAGGACACCAATGTACTACTCTATCAATTACCAAATTGTATGGCATACAAGGAAGGAAAAGGGGTGAGATCCCTACCCAGGGTTGAGGGGAATTTGTCCTCCCAGCTGTGAAGAGAGATCAAAACAGCCTTGAACATTTCTACTCACTTAACATGTGCACAACACTCATTCATTTGGGTGCTTTAGCCAGACAGTAGGTTATGTTCACAGTACAGCTGTTTTTGGACCTGCAGTGTATGCTATGGCTCTAAAGCAAATCCACTTGCTTAACAGCACATGCACAATGCTCAAAGCAAGTTTTCAAGTTTTCATTGATTGCTGCCACCTATTGTATTAGCTGCTTAATTCTACAAATTTCCTTGCACCAACATGATCATAAGTGGCAACTACTGTACCCAGATTGCCACATAGTAGCTAATCCCACTCTATATAGGTCAGAAGGGAGTGGGATTACAATTAAAAATTGCATCTGAGTGCATAGATTTTTGAAATGCACACACCTGAGAGTGCCAATGAGAATGGACTAAATAACTAATTGGCATATCCTAACTCATGAACTGGTTGTTTGTATTATGGTATCGGGTCAGTATGAATGGAAGAAATTTATATCTTTTTTGTTTTATATCAGTTTCACTCAAGAAGATTCAAGTGCATTAAGAACTATTACTTTTGTCCATTATTCAAAGTGAGTGCCATCTAAATTATTTAAACTATTTCCACATGATCAGGACAAATGGGCATTCCTAACCAGAGCTGCAGCTCCCCAACAAGCTGCTGGTGCCTCTCCATTCAGGCCTGGATGAATGGAAGGAACCTCCATCTGTTTCCTGTCAGTTTCATAGCATTGTTTTGATGCACTGGCATGAAACACTCGTGCACATTGTTTCACCATCAGTTAGATTTAACTGCATATTCATTCAGCATGCCATGTACACTCACATTGCCAGCATCCATGCGTAGGCTTACCTGATTTCAGTAAGATTTATAGATTTTAACTTGCACTTTCTTGAACTTGAACTTAACTGTCCAACTAAAACCTTTTTTTCCAAGTAGTTCCAGAATCTCTTATGTATGAGATAGATGCTATTTTGTAGCGAAATGATGGTGAGGCAGTGCAAAAAATGAAAAGATAGCGGGAATGGACATTGCCTTCTAGTTAGAAATAAGCCTATGTTGCAAATTGGTTTCACTTCAGTTTTCTGAACTAAGGTTTTGAGGAATGAGTGAAGCTCCCATCAGGATTGTATGTAAAGACATCATTTGTGTAATTGCACAATACCATGTTTCAAGCTGCATGCTCTATAATGCCTAAGGTTATTGTATATTATAAAAAATGTTTTGATCCATAGAGGGAATACAAATAATTTAGATTTAATCCCTCAAGCACCCAAGAACTATATGGTTGTTGCCATGAAATTCCAAAATTGCCTTTTTTGAAAGTTCTAATTCAAAATTGTTACATTAGCCTATCAAGAAGTTCCTTATTTATCTTGAAATCTGAACCAATTGCATCAACTTTCTATAATAATCTAAGTTAATTAATTTTCAGCATTCTTGAAATAACATTCAAAATAGGCTTTAAATCAGAGATTTGTGTAAGCAACCATATGTGTTACTGAGCACAGAGTGGATAACTTTTGCTGTGCTAGGCAGGATTGCTGGATCTGAAACCTCTGCATCCCCTGGTATCAAGAGAAAATTATCTCTTCCTTCTCATAGTTGTGTTCATTATTGAAAGTTTAGCTATTGCAGATACAGGGTGGCCCAGAAGTAATAGGGCAGTTAGTGGTACAATCAGCAGTCACTACAATTTTATGATTATTTTGATTATTAATTGATTTTTATTTTAATTTCAGAATCACTAAGTATTAAGTTTTGCAAATAAAAATTGTAGTGACTGCTGATTGTACCACTAACTGCCCTATTACTTCTGGGCCACCCTGTATATACAGGGTGTCCCATAAGTCACTATACCATTTCAAAAATTCATATCTGCTAAACAGTTGCCAAAAAAAAAAGAAGTAACGTTAACTTAACAATAGCATAGCATTTGGAATTATCTTTGTCAAAAAATGGAGGTTTTTCTGAAGTTTGAAAGTCCCTCAAAATGACCTCCATACCAATACATTTGGCATGATGCTCTCCACCAAAATATTGCTGAAACTTCCTTTGGACATGGACGGGACTCTCAAAAACCTCCATTCCGGGTAGCAATGAAGGAACGTTGCTTGAGCGTCAATTGTGATGCCTTTTCTTGTTACAGCGAAAGCAAATTAAAGGAAATTAATAAATAAAAATTTTGTTTCTCAGGTCTGTCTGGAATTAAAAAACATGAAGTTTGGCAATTTTTGTAAAATAGGATTCAAGAATGTGTACCATAAATAGCCCTAAAAACATACACCTTTCTGACATGCTTTTGAAGGAACTTCTCTTAGAGTCTCATTCCTAGTCATTATTTTTAAAAATATTCTTAAGAACGTTCTTTCCATCAATGCTAAGAAAATTGACCTGGCTGTTGTAGTTTGGAAAATATTGCAGTTTGAAATGGTATAGTGACTTATGGGACACCCTGTATACTGTCACATCCTACAGTTAAAAGGATTAGGAGGAAGGTAAAACCTATCAGAGATGAAGGTTCATCATTCATCATACTCTCTTTGGCAACTAGCCTAGGAGTGAGGATGAAGGTAAAAAGAAAATCATGAATGAAGGATGTCATATCCAGCTGACAAATCTCTCCCTTCCTGGCATTTATTTCAATCCCATGCTATACTGTGAGGCTTTCGCTGCAACTATGGATTTTGTATTTAATTTAAAAATATTAAAATGTTTCCTAAGGTGGGCATAGGCTTTCTTTGTAGGATTATAATTGAAATGAATTTAACAAGAGTGGGGCTGTTGAGGGGAGACCACATGAAATAAGTAGTATAGTTCCCTCTACTAAGCAAAAAAAAAAGTGGATTACTGGGGGTCATTGTTATTGGGTCTGTTTTTTCTTTGACATGTCTTTCAATGAAAGCAAATTCCCACAAGGTCATATTATATTTAACTAACAGACTTATTCTTGATGGGTTTGAAGCATCAGATTCACACAATATGGATGATGATATAATGAGGGAGATATTAGCTGCTTTGGACTGTTTGCAGCTCCCCAGCCTTAATCTCCTGCATGATCCTCACTCCATTCTTCATCTAAAAGCTATCAGGAATGCTAAGCATTACATTTGAGAGTTTGAATGAAATAGGACTGGGTCCCAACAAATATTCCACAAATGCAAGTAGACAGTGAACAGGCTCTTTGCATATGGGTGTTACTGATACCAGATGAAAGAAAGGTGAACAGTCATATGTGCCTAGGCAATTGCATTGCTTGAGGCCATCTATCCATCCTTCATGAGGATGAAAAATTGTCATGCTAATAGGTCCAGCTTCTCTGCATTGGAGACTTTATGTTGCAAGGCATCAGAATATGGGTGCCTGTTGAGAAGAATGATGACATTGTAGGAGCCCCTAAAAGCCAAGTGTCTTTGCCTGAATTTTCTTTCAAAGTAGGGGTTGCAGAGACAAGAAGGAAGCATCTGTATTGCTTTTGGGCATATCTTCTATAATTGAGTGGGAGCCTTTTGTCTACCTTTGGATTTTTGTGTGGGTGAGGTGCGTGGGAGGAAACTGGCCACTTGTTTGGGTGTGGGACCTCAGATAGTTTAATATGGAAAGACATTAATGTTGGGAAGCTTATAGACTGTGGCACTATCTTTTTCCCCTCTTGTAGGACTGAAAAGGAGGAGTATGGGTTCATTTATGGCTTCCTTTATTTAATCTGAACTGGGACATTGACAAGTATGAATTTATTCAGACATTCTGGTATCATCATCCATATCATCCATCATGATTCAACTAAGACTTTATAGCTGGCACAAAAGTCTGTATCATTGCATAAAAACAATTTAAAGAAGACTATGCCATTATTTTATCTGTCAGTTATGTTGGTGCCTGTGAACTTGATTTTACTACCTTTCATTGATCCCATTTTGGAAACTTTTCCAGTTGACCACACTCGAGTCATATTATCAGAATTTCCTGGAGTTCCTGGAAGTGATTATATCAATGCCAACTACATTCGAGGAGCAACAACCGGGGCTCCTGCATATATTGCAGCTCAAGGTCCTTTGGCACACACGGTCCCTGACTTCTGGCGAATGGTTGTGGAATGTCAGGTTCAGGTCATTGTCATGGTCTGCAATGAAAGAGAATCTGGTCGGGTGAGTTAAGTTAAACTGATTCTCTTCTTACTATGGCTAGATGTGATTGAGAATTATGGGGCATATGGCATGGTTGGTCTTTATTTAGCATAAATGTGAATGCTACTGGGTGGAAAAGGAAGGAGAAGAGAAGACTTGGGGGAATGTGACTATTTCTCTGGTGAAGCAGAGAAAAATATGCCCTGATTTCCTTCTTCGCACACTTAAACTTGCAACCACATCTGAAGATGGGTCCTTGGGTAGGATTGCTGAAGGATTCAAATCTTTCTTGAAATCTGCATTTGAATTGGATAAAACTTGAATCCCTCTATTCCAGATGAAAGGACAGTTTGTCAGTTCCATTACGTGGCCTGGCCAGATCATGGAGTCCCAGCTCAGGTTAGACCCCTGCTAGACCTGGTGCTTTTGGTGAGAGATTGTCAGGCTGCAGAAACCAGGCCTGTACTTGTTCATTGTTCTGCTGGATGCGGTCGAACTGGTACCCTCTGTGCCATTGACTATGTCTGGGGGCTCCTAAGAAGTGGAGTAAGTTGCCATCTCTGTCTTGTTTTTTGACTAGTATGTATATAGACAACATGAGCATAGGGTAACTGGATTTTGGTCTGATGTCCATCTGCAGAGGATCCATGAGAGTTTCAATCTCTTTGACATCATTGCTGAGATGCGGAAGCAGCGCATCGCCATGGTGCAGACCAAGGATCAGTACATCCTTGTGCATCGAGCTGTAAGGGAACTGTTTCTGGAACAGTTAAAGATGATAGATTCTCATCCATATGAAAATGTGGATATGAATGGGGAACCTCTTGGAGAAAATGGAGGAGCAGAAACTGAAGAGGATATGGAGCCTCTTTGTCGACAGGGCACTCCTCCCCATGCCTATGAAACCATATTTCCACAAGCTTCTTCTGATGACAGACTAGGTTTGTTTGTTTCCCTCTGATTAGTTACGTTATTTTCTTGAAGTTGACAATAGAAATGGAATGAGCTTTCTCTTCCTATCCATTCAGAAACAGGATTATTGGACTCATCCCCACCCCTTGTGAAGAAACCAACAGTCTCATTCCCCGAACGGTGCCGAAGCCCAAGCCCCATGCGTCAGCCATCAACTCCGAGGGATGCATTTTGTCAACCCCGTTCATCATCCCAGGATCCCTCTGCATCGAAGAACACCGAAGCAAAGAGGAAGAGGATTGAACAGCTAAAGGCATTTTTTGAGCAAGGAGGGGGGGAAGGAGAAGGGGCAACCCCAAAAGTGCGCTTGTCTCGCAGTGCCAGTAGTGTCATGGTTCGTCACCTGGCCACTCCTCCACAACAGCAGTTTTCAACTGCAAGGAAGCCTCCAAAGACTCAAAGCTGGGGCTTTCGAGTGGCAAATCTCCGCCCTGAACCAACACCTCCACAGAGAAGGAGGAAACCACCACTCCAGCCTGTCCTATCTCAGCCAAAGCCTGAAACTAAGAAGATGGATGTGGAGGAAGATAGCATCAGACAGGAAAAGGAAGTGGCATCCCCTGCAACTTCCAGGAATCTGATTTCATTGAGTAAGAGTCCATCACAAGCAGAAAGTGCCTTGAAGCCTCGAGAATCAAGAAGACCCTCTGTGCCTGTCAAGAGGAGTAAATCAGTGAAACTGCCAGCTGCAACTGGAGCATCACGCATCCCTGCTGCCATCAAAACACCTGATTACTTGGCTCTGGAATCTGTGAGCAGAGTACCTCGATATCAGGACTTTGCTCAAGCACCAAAAAAATTCTTTGGGAGTGCAAGAAGTGAGGAAGAGGCCACAAGAAAGCCCCCAGTGGTTCAGAACTTCTGCATTGGAGGACCTCCTGATCAAGGAACACGAATCACTACATTTTCTGAGATCCGGAAAGGGAGTGGGATGGCAGACACACCAATCTATGAGAATCTCAAGGTTGTATTTCCAGAACACCAGGAAACTGAATCTGAAGTAATGGAGAAGTGTTCGTCCCCAGGTCGACCCATAGCAGAAGAAGAGGGGGTGAATATGAGTGATGACTCCAAGATTGAATCTCTCTTACGTCGGAGTGCCAGTGAAAGCAGTGCACAAGATGGGGACTCAGAACACGAAGATGGGGAAGAACAAATGCTGGATGAAAGAACTATGGGGATAGTGCGAGACTGTGAGGCATACTTGGGAGCTGGCCCCTTGTCCTCATACACCAATGTCACTCCTGAAGCAAAATCAAATATAGAGCGAATTGAGGGAATTCTAGAGAAGCATCCTCGAGGTGCCATTTATGATGCTCTGTCTGCACGACGTCAGAGTTTTGTCCAGGCAGTTCGCCCAGGTGAACCAGAAGCAAGGAAGGACTATGAACCCATCTGGCCTCAGAGATCAAGTCCTCCCATGGCACCGGTACCTCCTCCATCAGAAGAAACTTGGCATGCAGACTCCACACTCCCACCACGACCAACTAAAGATCCTCTTTTCAACAGAAAATTAGATGAATTGAAGAATCTCCTTCAAGAGTTTGCATCGATCTCATTAGGAAAGCCCAAGCTCGGGCCCCTGGATGTGCGGGTTTCAACAACAAAAGGAGGCACGCTGTTCTCCAGTCCTGATTCACCCTCTCCCAAGCCAACAATTAATGCTGACAATCCTCGACCAAGCGCAACTCGGAACAAAGAATACGAGTTTGTTTTTGTACAAACAGATCCATTTGTTGGAAAGGGGAAAGATCCTCCAGTCATCCTCAGGAAAGCACCCCATGACAAAGACTTGAGTGAACCTGGACCAGAACGAAAGTCACCTTCCCCACCTCCTCCTCCATCACAGGCTCCAACTTCAAACTTCTATGTTTCTCCTCCAAATTACATTTTTGGTGATATTCTGAAAGGAGTGAGTAGTGGAAGCAAAGATCAGGAGCCTTCGCCAAGTCGACCGGCTGCACCTCCAAGAGTGGCATATGTCGACAAGGAGGGTAAACCCTGTCCCCCTCCTTACTCTGAAGTCCAGAAAATGAGGAGAAATCAGCCACCATTTGGTGAGGATTCTAGTTTTTCTGCCCCAGTAATAATTATTATGAGATGCATGAGTGCATGCTGTATGAAATGGGTTGCCTCTCTTTCAAAAGTGGCAAGACGGGAGAATCTGGAATCTCGGAAGAAGTTGAGTCCAACTGCACCACCCCGACTAAAGAGACATCCTGGTTCTTTCACTTCTCTGAACAGCTCCACTGGGACTCATCCTTTTCCGGTGAGAGAACAATGCATGTTTCTGACCAATGTTTTTGTGCAGTTGTTACATATTATCCCATATTTTATGCCAGGTGGAGCCTGAAGAGTTGAGGACTCCCCCAAAAATCTCATTAAAGTCATCTGCAAACATGCAAGGATCTCCATCTCCAGCATCTCTTCAAAACCAACCAGTCCTTACGTCATCTCCATCTCCTTCTTATGTTCAGTCATTCACTCCACCTCCTCCTCCCATGTTTGCAGTGAGGGATGTGAGAATGGGATCTTCATCCCATTCCCCTTCCTTCCCTCAGGGTCATGTGGGAGCTGGAATGCCCATCTCAACCATCACTCTTCCCCCTTCATCCACCTTCAACACAAGTTCTCTTACACCATCATGTAAATAAAGAAAAAAAAATCATCCAACTCCTGTCAACTCTTGAAAACTAAAAGAAGTCACTTGATGCCTTTACTCCTTCAGGTTCGTTTTCTGGGGTTCAGTTACCAGATGACAAAGGGGATCTATCAGCCTTGACATCTCCTGGTGTATTGAGTAAAGCTCTCACAAAACTAAACTCCCTTCGCACAAAGTTTGGCTCCAACCTTGATGGTGGTGCTTCCTCTGAGCCAAGGTCTCTCTCCCCTGTTGGATATGCTGGTTTGTTTTTCATCTTAATTATATCTCCACTCTTAATTTCCCTATCACAAGGTTTCATATAAATTATGTTTTAGGTGCTCCAGTGAATCCTACAAGAAGACCCAGTCTCCTCAAGCGACAAGAATATCTCTGATCCTCAAACCCTTTCCTACTCTTCCATCATGTTGATTCCCCCTTCCTGTCAGTACCTTTATGTTCAGAGGTTCCTTTCTGAAGAGCTTCCTCTAGAATTCAGTATCCAAGCCTCAGTATTTGTATGCCCGCCGAGAGAGTAGTTCGTACTCAAGTTCCTGCTGTGATGCCCCTGAACAAACTTTCCTTCTTTGCAATACTCTACCCATAACCCATCAGTCTCAATAGTTGATATTGTATGTGTTCTTGCCCATTGCACAATCCCACATTGTGCCTGTGATCTGAGGATACTGGTGCAGTTCCATGGTGGCATTCTGTTTCATCTCTTATGGTGCTCTCTAGGAAATCAGAATAATAGACTTTTTCGTGGTCTTTGTCTTTGTCTATTCTTTCAAAAAAGGGCTCTTTTCAAACACAATTCAACATCAACCTTTTTTTCCTCACAACACATCCATACACTTATCTACAAAAGGTAATGACTAAAAGCACTTTTACTGCTTGGATTCTGAATATCACCTCCATTTATATATGGCATATGTTATTTCTTGAAGCATCAACCAAGTCTTTGTTTTCATTATAATGAACCAACAACATGACAGCTTTCTTGGCACCAACTGAAAAAGCAGCATTATTATGATCCAGGCCACATAACAGTATCCAAGCACTGATTTACATGCTCCCGCAGGGCATCCATGTTAGTAAATGGAAGATTGCATTTTGGGCAAGGCTGTTGGCTGGGACTTCCCTCCCCTCCTCCAGTGTCTCCTTCCCCCTAAAATATTAGAGAAAAATGAGGCTTCACAATGATTACTTTTAACAATTAATATTTTCAGGGAATTCTGTAGTACCTCTCCAAGTTCCCCATGTGCCTCTCTCACAATCCTGTAAAAGCAAAAGTGTATCACAAACAAGCATGAGACAGCACATGATGTTCAAAGACTATGTTCCACAAAATAACCTGATCTGCTGCCTCAGGAAGTCATTCTCCTTCATCAATGAATCCTTTTCCCCCACCAACTTCTCCCTGGCAGCACGCTCAGCCTCAAAGTCTTGTTTGTAGATTTCCAGCTGAAACAGAATAGGACATCCATTCCATCATAAGGGATGATTCAAATGGATACAAAAAGAGGTTTCTGGAAAGACAAGGACCCACCTGTGCTTCAAGGACAGGAATGATTTCCAAGTCCTTGCATTGCTTCTCTGTATCATGCCCCCTCTCCTCCCAAGTGAGGAGTTGTGCAGTGAGCTGATCACAGCGCTCCTTGTACATCTTCAACTGGAGTTCAGCATATGTGTGTGACTGGGATGGCTGAAACGACACAATACCCATTTTACTCTTGTTAACATTGCAGGCCTTGTGAGCAAGGCAACAAGTTGCTCACCAGATTTACCCGCTTCTCCAGTTCCTCCGTGAGTTCGAGGAGAACTTCACAATTTGTGATCAAAGGAGTGACAGAGGCAAGGAAGTCATCCATGACGTCCCTGTAATGTAACAGTGTTGTAATGAGTGAATGAATGGTGATGGGACTGAATGGATCCCAGTTTCATTTACTTTGTGGGTGATGTACCAGAACCTTCCATATGTGACAGTTTGACCTTGGACTTGTGGAGACTCTCACGCAGTTGAAAGTAATCAATGGATCCACCCAAGAGAGGAGAATCAGTCACTTCAAAACTCTGAAGAAAAAAGCATGAAAAAGATTATGTTTGAAGAAGCAAGCATGACAAAGTGAGAATGCAACAAAATGGGTTTTATTACAACTAACCTTGCATTTCAGTTCCTCAATCGATTTCTCCAGATGTTGACGCTGTTCTCGCTCTCCTTCCAGCTGGGCTTGCAAAGTCTTGATTAGAAAAGATTCTTCATCACATGTCTCCTCCCTCCTCTTCATCTGTAAGATGATGGGGCCATGCTGCAAGCTGAGAAAAATATAAAAACAAAGGAGAAGCAAAAACAATACCAGCACCTCAGATGTGGAGAGGGCAGCCTTAAGTTCCCAGTTGTCAATCTTGAACCTCTCAAGGGTAGTCTTTGCTTGTGCCAGTTCACCCTGGAGAGCACGGATGTCTTTTTCAAGTCTGGACCTATGAGACAGGAGCCTTGCCCTCTCAGCCAACAACTCATCATTCATATGCTCTGTAGCTCTCAACTTCTCCATCTCAGGGCCATCTCTTGTTGAGAAACCCTTTGGCCATAGAGAAATAACGTAAAGACATGAGGGCAGGTCAGAGACCAGAGGGAGGGGACGTGATGAGCCACTTACCCGAAGCTGATTCCTCAGTCCATCAATCTCTCGCCTCTGGTTATTCAAGATGGCTCCAAGGCGCTGAAACTTGTCACTCTGCTCAAAGTTTCCACGACGCACTTCTTCCCGCCAGGTGTTGAATGTCTCCAACTGTTGCCTCAGAGACATGTTGTTTTGTCTCAGGGTATCTAATGGTACAAAAACATAACAGGGTTTTATCAAATTACATGCAGTTATAAATGCAAAAAAGAATGACAGCAGAGGGCCAAGAAGAAACACCTCGAAGGCGAGCATTTTCAACGATGAGGCTGTTCACTTTAGAGGTGAGCTCCTCTGATGTAAGGCTGCCGGAAGACAAAGATGAGTCAACCGTAGATTGTGGGGCAGGCAGACCTGAATCTGATCCATTCATTGTTACAAAAACGAAATCGGCATCCTGGGATGGATCCGTTCCAATCTCCGGCAGATCCTTCATTCTATCTCCTCACACCTTGCAAAAAATCAAGATTTTTTCCCCATTCTTATCAAGCCTTCCATCATGAAGTAAGATTCCCCCACTAAGGACTCCTACAAATGAGGCTTGGTTTCCAGTACAACAGGATTTATATAATTCCTGGAGGGTACAGCACCCTGCACCTCTTGCATATAAATATTTATTTATGAAATAAGATTAAAATACTGGTTTGTCAGAGCATAATACAATTCATGAGTCAATTGGAAAAAGCCAGATAATGGGGATATATATTGGAACATGATATGATGATAAGCTGTTTCAGCAAAAGTACCAGTATCCCTGGTATCTAGAATCTATATTGCACAGTTGATACCTGAAATAAAGGTATAGTTATCACAACTCAGAGCATGGAAGACAAGGGGAGAATCTCCTTTAAGCAAGATTGAGATAACAGCCTTCCTGCCAGCAGAAGGTCAATTGATGGGAGAATGTTGTCATCAGGCCAAGTCACCGATGCAGACATACTTGACCTCAAGATATTCTTCAATGCCAAAGTGGGAGCCCTCTCGGCCAATCCCAGATTCCTTGACCCCTCCAAAGGGAGCTTCGCATGACGAGAGCAGGGCTTCATTTGCCCCAAGGATCCCTACTTCCAGTTTTTTCACAACACGAAACACCTGTTTGATATCTTGTGAGAAAATGTAGCCAGAAAGTCCACGACGGGATTTGTTGGCTATCTTCAGTGCTTCTTCCTCCGTCTTGAACCTGGGAATAGGAATAAAGGGATCATCATTCCCATGAACAAATGCATGAGGAAGTGAAAAGTAATTCAAAAATTAATTAGACGACCTACTTGACAATAGTGACCACAGGCCCAAACTGCTCTTCTTGGAAGCAGGGCATTTCTGTCTTAACATCAACTAAGAGAGTTGGTTCAAAGTACAATGGTCCCAGATCTTCTGCTTTCTTCCCTCCCATCACAAGCTTAGCTCCTCTGGACACAGCATCTCTTACCAACTCATCGATCTGCAATGTAAGGTGAGCGAGTAACAGGTATTGCAATCAAACAGACCAGTCATACAAACCCTCTAGAAAAGCCCTAAATTGCCTGCTTTACCCTGTTAATTTGCTGCTGGTTGACAAGAGGCCCCTGGGTAACCCCCGAGTTTAACCCATCTCCAAGAACAAGTTCTTTCACCATTGCTTCCTTCAAGCGAGAGACAAACTCATCATGGATTCCTTCTTGGACCAGGAACCGGTTTGCACAAACACAAGTCTAGGAGACAAAGAGAAGAGATTATGCATAGGCTTATATGAAATGGACCAAGACTACAGGATATATTTGCACCTGGCCCATATTGCGAAACTTGGATGCCATGGCACTTTGTACAGCCTTGCTGACACTGGCCGAATTGAAGACGATGAACGGGGCATTGCCACCCAGTTCCAATGCAAGGCGTTTCACTCCTGATGCACACTGCTTGTAGAGAATCTTTCCAACTTCAGTTGAACCTTTTAAGAGGGAAGAAAAAAATTAAATGGCTCTGCAGGGTTGCTTCCTTCATGATATACACAAGAATACCAGTGCTGCCTCACCTGTGAATGAGAGAACACCAACATTTGGATGCTCACAGAGCAGCTTCCCTATTTCAGGAGTTGTTTCCCTGCTCCCTGTCACCACGTTGAAAACCCCCCTCGGCACCCCAACCTCCTCCGCGATGGCAGCTAAAGCCAGTGCACTCAGTGGCGTGTCTTCAGCCGGTTTCACAACACAAGTGCATCCCGCTGCCAGAGCAGCTCCCGCTTTCCTCGTGATCATTGCAGATGGAAAATTCCACTGAGGAACACACAAGGTCATCCACATTAAAATTAATCATAGACCAACACAATTATGAATATGGCATAGAAATAAGTAGGCTCACTGGTGTTATGAGACCAGCCACTCCAATGGGGAACTTCATTGCAAACATCTGCCTGTCCTTATATGGTGATGGAATGACATCTCCCTGAAGACAAACATTATTATATTCCAAAATTCCCAGAAGTCTTGAAAATTTTTGGTAAAGATTCTTTGCTCACAAGGATTCTCCTCCCCTCCTCAGCAAACCACTGTAAAAAGCTTGCTGCATATGCAATCTCTCCTCTCGATTCGGTCAGAGGTTTCCCCTGTTCAGCTGTCATAATTTTGGCCAATTCTTCCTGCTGTTCCATCATTTTCATGCTCCATGCCAGAAGCAGACTGCCTCTTTCCTAAGGGCAAAATTCCGAAAACAATTAACATTATGCCAAATAGCCTGCAGTTCAAAGCTTGGATCCAAATGATTGGTACCTTCGCGGTGATATCTCTCCAGGAAAGAAATGCATGTTGTGCAGCATCGATTGCTTTTTCTGCATCTGAAGCGTCACAATCCGGCACTACAGCGAGTACCTTTCCATTGCATGGATTCGTAACAGAAAACGTCTTGGAAGACTTGGCGTCGATCCAAGACCCATTAACGAAAGCCTTTTCCCTCAAGAGGCTGATACAGCGACAATGAACCGGATTCAGACGTAGGCCTAGGTCTGCAAAAATTCGCGGACTGCGTCTCAGCATGGCTCTGGTCCCGCCGAAGGCGAGTTTTTCCATCGGGGCCAGCAGAGACGCGTTTATCGCCATCGAATAATCCCGACAGTCTCACCCAACCATTCCAGTCAGTATTGCTCGGATTCCAAGAGCCCAAGTGAACGCCGTAACGTCACACCTCCACATGCACACTGCATGGAAGCAACACGCAATTCCCCGAAATGTCAGCATCGTCTGCTTCAGGAACGTCACTAGCATCGTCTGCTTCCGAAATGTCTCCAGCGTCGTCTGCTCCAAAACGTCATCAGCGTCGTCTGCTTCCGATATGTCACAAGCGTCGTCTGCTTCTGTCGGATCCGGGCTGTCCTCTCTTAGCTAAGAACTACTGCTCGGTCTTCTTCATCAATCTGCTAGATGTCGCTTCACGAACGCTCTTGCAGGCTTATGGGACTGAGAAAAAAAAATCGAATTGAGGAAGGTAATCCAGGGTTCCAGGCGTATAGAAAATCTCGGACGTTCTGAAGCGGAATCAGCTGATTTAGGATTAGCCCAAACTTCAGTTATTTTTGCAACTTAAAACTGGACCGACTTCGACTGAGTGCTAATTTGGGCAATGGCATATTTTTGGCACGCCTATTCGCACCATACGGTGCTTCGTTCTCGAGTAAATCTCTTCCGTCGACTCTCTCGAGAAGTGATTCGTGTTGGCCGGATTCAGAACCGGAATCCTGGCGTTTCGCTGGGTAATGGCGTGCAAACTTTTCTGCAGCTGGTCGTTATTTTGGTGGTCTGCATCATCGTGACAGGTAAGTGCCAGCTGTTAGGTTGGATTCCTCGCGTGGAATTCCTTTTTTCTCTCGTGATGTTTATCGTTGGAGCGAGGCTGGTGTTGCTTCATCGCCGGACTCGACCGGCATACGAAATGGCGCTGCCATATCGGGGCTCGCTTCCTGCGAAGTGGATCGGTACTGGAAGGAGTCCGATGAGTGACGTAATGTGCGAACGGGGTGTAGGAGATTCCTTATACGGGCATCTCTGTCTCCGATGATCATCTCGTTCCAGTCCATTTCGGGCGGTCGGGGGTCGCTGGCGATTCCCTCGACGACACGTGCTGATTCTTCTTCGCTCCAGTTGATGGAAGCGGTCAATTGCGCCCTTCGCGGCTCGGGCTTCGGAGCGCCCGCGTCCGAGTTGCCGATTTTCGGTCGCAAAACGACCCAAAATCGCGACATGTGGTCCCGATCAGGCGCGACGTGACCCCTAACCCATGCAAACGGGACAAATGAAGAAAGCGGACCCAACGCGCGAAGCAGGATGACGTAATAAAGGAGCAGCAGTCGTGAAGGCCTCCCTACGGTCCGTCCCCGCATGAGTCATCCGGGCCCCCCCAGACCGTCCGCAATCCCCCCGAGGCGTCGTCAACCCCGAACCTCCTCCACTCCATCCTCCGCAGTCGTCCAGTTGCGTGGGAAGCGGGCAGTTGCACCCGGCTACCTCTCTTGACCTCCTCCCTCGAAACGCCCTCGTCCTCCCTCGAAATGCCCCCCATCCTCCCTCGAAATGCCCTCCGTCCTCCCTCGAAATGCCCCCCATCCTCCCCAGCCATGCGCGAGTTTATTCTTAGCCGCGCCGTGCACCCCGCTCCTCCTCAGTCTCACCGCCACGCCCGTCGATCCCCCCCGCTGTGTCTGTGCCTCTTCTCGCCGACCTCTGCCGACCTCGTCGTCGACCCCCCTTCCACCTCGTGCTCGTCGTAAAAAAACTCCACAAAACCGTGAAAGTGATTCCCGGTGGTTCGCACGGTTCAAGTGTGCCCAAATCTCCCCGTTTTTTTTTTCTCGGCTTTCTTGGCTCGGAGCCCGTCTGCTACCCCTTGTTACCCCCTGTTACCCCCCGTCACCCCCTGCCCATCGCCCACTCATAAAATATTCCGGTTCCTCCCGTGCCTCCTAAAACTCACGCCGCCCGGACCAGTCCTAACGCAAGACGAGAATTCGAATGAGGCCGTAATAATAGCATGTCGGACGCATTGGGGCCAAGCCAGAACGAAAATCGACCCTTTGCCCCTTTAAAGTTCGCTTTCAAGCGGCGACACCCACTAAGGGGGGCGATTGTCTCCCCCCTGGCACAATGCCCCCCCCTTGATGGGTTCAGAGTGCTTCACGGTCGGTAACATAAATTCTCTTAGTATCATCAGTACTTGTCTGTTTGGCTCGGTACTCATCCTCAATCCTTTTGTCGTTGACGAAATGGAAGGGTTCCAAAACGAATTTTTTCGCGACCGTCGACTCCGACCGATCGAGGACACGAATAAGGGTTCAACTGCAGAGCCATGGTGACATCATATCACAAAAATGCCCCCCCCTGCCCCCGGTGAATAATGCGGTATAAATACATATCCGTTCCTATCTTGTCTTTTTCCAGCGACGATCTGATTCCCACGGGAGCATCGGATGCACCTGGTTTGGGCAGCTGATCGCCGGGCAGCGTGTGTATGGCGATTGTTAATGCATGGGACGATTGTTAATGCATGGGGCGATTATTAATGCATGGGGCGATTATTAATGCATGGGGCGATTATCTATGAGTATGTTGTATCGTGATGACTGTGGCGGTTTCGTTGCGGTCGCCGATTTTTTGATGGGCTGAGGCTTGTATCGTCGCGTATCAATTTAAATTATTAGAATTACTTGCGTTATTCATATTATTAACGTTATTAATGTTATTAATTAAATTATACGGCATCGACTTAATTCATTCCGATCTGAGAAATCCCAGATATTTCCAAATTTCCTTCAGACGGCTAATGAGGAGCGATTCCAGGC